GACCTTGAGGCACTCTCCTTGTTTGGGACTTGGTCGCGACCTACTTGGGACCCATTGGGACTCCGTGGGACCGGGCGCAAACAAGAAGGGCCCCTCAGACCCAAATCTGTTGACGCAGTGTCACTCTCCTTTCTGTCTGGGATACGGTACTCTTCTTTTTTATTAGAGCCCTCGCTGTCGAGGGGATCTCGACTGAGATGCTTTGTCAGACTGATGACGCACAATCCAATCCAATGGTTGACCTGCACCTTATACACCACTCAATTCTCCATTGCTGTATGATGTTACTTGTAGTCTGATTTGCTGTACTTTGACAGTGCCGACTGGATTAGGCTCAAGGGGATCTGGTACTTGGTCTGACCGGAGTAAAACGCGGAGTCAGAACTCTCTTCAGAATTCGTTTTTTAATTTTTGTTGTTGGTGGTTGCTCTCTAGTCCAAAAATTTGCCGCTCCTGCCAGGAGTTCTACCTTCTCCTCTGTACTTTCAGTTTGTTTCTTTTGCTGAAGTCCACTACATGCTAGTAGAGACCCGCGGACAAGAGAGTAGAGCAAGAAAGGCCATGGCAACTGAAGGAGCTAGTGGTTCCAACATGGCACCGGCTAAGCTGTCTGACATGTTAAGGGCTCGTATGGATGCAGCGGATGAGGCTGATAAACCGCTATATGAGGCCCTCTATCAGAAAGAATTGGTTGAAGAAGAAAAGGAGGAAGAGGCAAAGCGGAAAACAGTTGTTGACGAACTTGAGGCTATTTTCAAAACAGTTCCAAACATATCTCATGCAGACCTTAAGAAAGATCTGGTTGTGTATGTCCGTGCGCTTGTAAACTACCATTTGCTCAACGAACTCCCGAGTGTGAAATATCAACTACTCGAGGAAATGAGTAAGATGCGTACTCAGATGGCTCAAATGGTCAGAGAGCATCGCGATCAGTAACAGCACATGACAAACATCATGCATCAGGCCCAAACCTCAAGTTATCTTCCCCGTTCTACCGTTGCACCTCTCCATTCTTCTCTTTCTTCTCAGTCTTCTTCGTTGAGTTTGGTGGTTAATCAATCACGACCTGCGACAAAGAAAAGCATGACTGTGCCAGACTGTTTCGTCAGTTTGCACCTCTTCGTTCTTCTCTTTCTTCTCTTTCTTCTCAGTCTTCTTCGTTGAGTTTGGTGGTCAATCAGTCAGGACCTGCGAGAAAGAAAAGCATGACTGTGATAGACTGTTTCGTCGGACTTTCACTGACTCATCAAGCGATTTAGGTGTATGTGTGTGTGTCTGTGTGTGATATGACTGTGGGTGTCTGTGTGTGGTATGAGTGTGTGTATGAGAGAGAGAGAGAGAGAGAGAGAGAGAGAGAGAGAGAGAGAGAGAGAGAGCTGTCTCTTATACACATCTAGATGTGTACCTTAAACCGCCAGTACACAGCCCCAGCCTTGCTGAACCCATGACTTGAAGTTTCAGGAAAAAAAAAAAAAAAAAAATGCAACTCGTCGCCTATGAAAATTTTGGAGGTTCGGCCTACCGGACCGCAACGGCTGGGGGCACCAGCCAAGAAAGAAATAAAGTGCGCTGCTGGCGGTTCGGAAAAAAAGCTTGGCGCGCAGTTAGGCACCTTCAGGCCCGAGTGTACTGGCGGTAACCGTGAAAGTCGAACATTTTTTCATTAAAAATGTTTGACTACTCCCCACCACTTCCCCCCTCTTATCCCCTATTTCCTTCTTCCTTCTCTTTCTTTCTTTCTTTCTTTTTTTTGGATCATCATTTCTCTATTTATGTATTGTCGTCCTTGTGCAAGGGCCATGCTAATGTTCTCTGTATCGCTCCAATTTTAACGGACATCCTGGGGCATGGTCCCACTAGCAAAGAGGACCGGATCGGATGCCTGAATCTGGACGTGTTTGTGGAGAGGTGCAGGAAATCGAGATTGAACTGCTTTTCTGCATCTATGCATAAAACACATCCAGATTCAGGAGCTTGATTCCATCCTCTTTGCTAGTGGGACCTCGGCCCCGAAGCACAATGTTTAACAACTTTCTTTATCTGTGATAGTCGAACAATTTTTTTTTTTTTTTAAATTAAATTGCAATTTGTTTAACTTCTTTAACTGTGATATTCCACTTAATTTATTTATTTTTAAATAAAATAAAACAATGGACACAATGATTCATTTTTACGCTTTAGAACATGGTCAACTTTAGATGTTTTGTGACATCTTTTTTTTTTTTTTTTTTTTTTTGGGACAAATGCTCCAGTCTATTCGTGGGGAGCAACACGTGCTGGGAACCGGGCCCAGCGTCCCACGCACATACGAAGCAAATGTGCAGACACAAACAAACACACACACACACACACACACACACACACACACACACATCCGATGGCAAACGAAGAAAAGGGAGGCCAGTCATCCCACCTCCTTTGCGTATGTTTGAGCAGAGTCTAACTCCATGCAGAGTGCCGAGATCTCCGACTCCGTCCGAGAATGCTGGGCAGACAGGCGCTGCATGAGAACTTTGTCCCTCTCCCGCGATCGCCTCTTCTCTTCCGTGATTTTCTGTTCTAGATCAGTGACCAATGACCCCAACTTGACACGCTCTCTCTCCCATTGCGCCCTGATTTCCGCAATCTGGCCCCTAAGCTCTTCCATCTCCTGCTCCTGCTGTCTGACCAGCACGTTCCCTTCCTCTACCTGCTCCCGGAGATGGACATTCTCCTTCCTCGACTCCGTGGCGTCCTCCTGCAGCTGCAAAAATTCTTCGATCGTGATGGCGTGCCCGATCTCCGATCTGTGGCCGCCGACAAGAATGTTTTGACTTGCTGTACTAGTCATTACCGATGACGATCTCCATTGGCCTCCGAGTCGTTCCTCGGTCGACACACACATAGTCTCCGCAGCACCAGCCGCGGTCCCCAGCGGTGGGAGCTCGCCCACTGCCCTCAATCCCCCTCGCAATAGAGGGCGATCCGCCCCTGACTTCCTATCGACAGCATGCCCCCATTCCGAACAACACACTTCATCAGAAGCTCCTCGCTCCTCTACCTTCTCTGTCACAGGAACGTGCCCCTTGCAATTCACCATCAACTCGAGAGGCTTACATACAGACCGCTCTGCAAGCAGTGCATGCTCCAGACGGTCCTTTTCGTGGCGCAACTGGTCGATTGTTGCCTCAAGCTGATCACACAGACATAGTGGCGCACACACACACACAAAGTGTCACACAAACGCACACACACACACAAAGTGTCACACAAACGCACACACACACACACACACAGGCATAGCTTACAGTCCTCACCTGAATGGAAGAGAGAGAGAGAGAGAGAGAGAGAGAGAGAGAGA